GCAGCAGAGGTAGACGTGGAGACTGCCAAGACAGCAACTGGGGTGAAGTGTCATGGCGTTTGGGCTCCGGCTAGTCACCTCAAGAGGATGGATCCCATAAGCACAGCAATAAACACGAAGGGATTGGCGAAAATTAAGGAACACCAGACCAACGAGGTTCGAGAGGCTCTTGGTAAAAAGGGGGACACAGCTGTGACTCAAGAATACACAGATCGTTGTTTGAAAATCGGGGCAGAATAATCCCCTGATCTGTGCAACGACTGAAGGGTGGTCTAACCCCTGAGGTCGAAGAAAGAAGAGGAGCGGAGAATCACCTGAAGAAGAAATGAACCCTGCAACACTGGATTGCGAGGTGTAAGTGATCTCTTTAAAAAGAGGTCAAAGGGGGAGATTATGTGAGATTATTATATTATCTTATGCCACGTTAGACCCCTAATTAAAGATTGTGAAATTATTATGTAGTTTTCACTGAGCATGAGCTTTATCCAGAACTGATTTGGTTCATCTGACTGTTCTTTCGGCGAGGCCGTTGCTTTGTGGATACAAAGGGCTTGAGGTTATGTGGACAAAGTCCTGTGTGACTGCAAAGTCCTTGAACTCTCGAGAGCTGTACTGTGGGCCATTATTTGAAATAAGCTTCTCTGGTATACCATGTCTGGCAAATATAGCCTTGAGCTTTTTGATGACTGACCCTGCAGTAGTGGAGAATAGCCTTTCGAGCTCAAAGTAGCGGCTGTAATAGTCTACAGCTACTATGTAGTCTCGTCCGCGCCAGGTGAAGAGGTCTGAGGCCACGGCCTGCCATGGTCTCTCAGGCATGAGAGGTGGAATGAGAGGTTCTTTAGGGTTCGCTGCACACCTTTACTGACATATAGAACAGTTCTACACTGTGGTAGCAATGTCTTTGCCCATGCCTGGCCAAAAGAGGGCATCCCTAGCTCCCTGCTCACTACACTCGATCCCGATGTGCCCAATGTGGATTCTCTCCAGCATATTGTTTCTCAGGGCTGTTGGCACTATGTTTTTGTCACCTTTGAAGATGATGCTATGGTAGTGCAAAATTTCGTCTCTGAAATTCCAGAAATCTGGCACAATCTCTATGCCATATCTCTGCAGCTGTAAAAGCATGCACTGCAGATGAGCCGGAGCTACAGAGATTGGCTTCTTCAGTATGTGCTCCATGGCTTGTGGTCTGACTCGACAACGACTCTTTTGCCGTATATGTAGGTGTGGGAACGTCTGCATCTGAACAACACTGCAAAGAGTTGTTTCTCAATCTGTGCATAGTTAACCTTTGTCCGGGTAAGTGTCTTTGAAGCATATGCTATTGGGTGACCGTCTTGCAATTGGCAAAAGTTGCTTTCATTAATATCAAAATAATAAATTCTGTATAACCTGCTTTTCTTTTAACCAACTACACGAGTTGCCCCCTGCTGGCCATTAGAAAGAATGCAAGCTCACAAAACTGCTGCACTGGATTAACCTTTTAGATCTCAAAACGACTTTATATTCTGTGGTCTTAGTGAAAAACAGCAGCCCAAGCACATATGGCATCAGTAATGGCACTAGGTTAATTTGGGATGGAGCACCCTGCAGCTGTAGTACAATCTGCTCTATCCCCTTTACAGCAATGCCAGCTGCATACAGCCCTGAATAATTGCTCTTTACCAAAGAGCTGTAACATCACACAGCAGCAGGATTTATAGCATAATTAATCAAAGTTTCAGCCATGAAACTAAAGGCAGCATGTTCAGGATTAATCCAATATCATCAGAGCTGTCGCCACATTTTTGTTTTCAGGGAGAGTCCACTTATTATTTGTTAAGAACCACAGTACTTTCCCAAATGATGATGTCAGGTTTTTTTTTTTTATCTTTAATTATATGCCAAGGACAAAAATGACATATTTTATACTCCTCTTCACACAGCACATTTGTGGTGCAGGTGTAGTAAAGCAGAAATGTTTCTCAAGCTTCCCAGATGGAAGAGTTTAGTGTTCCTGTTGTGTCTAATTTACAAATTTATGCTTTGATTGTTTCCAAAAATGTATTCGTAAAGGAACCGTACGAGCTTGTTTTCATGCAAGCAGAGCAGGTCCACAAGGCCTGAATATAGTAGACTCCTGTTTTTTAGGAACAAATTAGTCCCAGTACACAAACCTGTCAGTCCACTGGGTTTCAAAAATCTGCTTTTTCAGAGAAAGAATTAAACATTTTCAACAACTCATTCTGAGCTTTTTCAAGTGGATCAATACAAGTGGTGCACATAATGACAGGAGGGATTTTATTCCCCTTGAATTAGTCAAGCTTCCAACGCTGCACTTGTCACTTACCTTAATGACCCAAATCCCATAAAACGTTTCAGGCTGAGGGTGTGTCATTAAGTCGTTACAGGCTTTTAGGAAGCAGAAAGTCAATTTGCAGCGATGGCAAGAACAGTAATTCAATAACGTTCCGTGTTTGTTTTACATTTAGGCCTTTCTTTGCATTTGCTTCTGTTCTCTGCTGTTATGATTGCTATGATATCCTGGCTTAGGGGTTACTAGTCTCGGCTTCAAGGCTATGCAGCTGCTCTGCCTGCTGTTATAATACCCACACAGCGCAAAGGCTGGAGACCATAAAATGTGGAGAATCTGTCAGAGTGTGGGCCTCATCCACGAATAACTGACCGCATGTGAGGAAATGCTATTTCAACATAAAAATTACTTCATGTTGTGCTCATGAACATACTCGAGCATCTTTCTATAACAGTGTCAATATTTGGACGTCGCAAGGCAGCTACTTCTGCTTTTTGTATATGTTTGGTAAAGGCTTACCGTGTCAGAAAAAGCTGAACAGTAAACATTGCACGATTGTGTATTTCTTGTGGTAACATTTTACTCAGAAAAGGTAACATTCTTCACTTGCAAAAACTCTGTCAGATGTGTAGTTACAGCAGCAGTATGCACACATCATCATCATCATACAGGCAGATAATTTAAGTTTTCAGTGCTACAAAAAAATGTGTACAGTGTAACATGTTGTCCGGTAAGGATTGACATTTTTGTAGTGGCAGTTAATCAATAACACCAGCACTCACTAGTTTATTCATACAATAAGAAAAAACACTTTGTGATGGGAAATGTAAAAATAGCCACAGTAATAAAATTCCACAAGTAACTGAAACAAGTGCTCAAAGTTCAGAGGTCAAATGCAGTTTTTTGAGCAGCATCAGAACACTTGGTAGATTTCACAACATTTTGCACTGCGGGTGAACCTGCAGGTTTGAGGCATTAATGACAGAGATGATGCTCAGCATTCAGCATTATAGAGATTCCTGAGTGATAAATGACACCTGTGCATATTTAGGTCAGCCTTAAGAAGGCCTACTCCTAGTAGGATGAATAAAAGAGAGTTAAAATAGATATCACTAATGCTAAGTGCTTTGGCTTTATTACAGGAAGTACTAACATATCATGTCAGCTGGTTTAATAATAACCCTAATAACTAAAAATGCTTTAATATTTATATTTAAGTAAATATTGACATACAACATGCATATACATTTTACTATTTAAAACATGCAGTTGAAGTGTAAATTTCCACCTAGCACAAATGATTTTAAATGATTTGTGCTAGGTTCTTTTAAAAACTGTAGCAGTCCACTCTTTTATGAGTGGACTACTCAGACAGGATCTTTAATTTTATACACTTCCCTATTAATCCACTGAAATGCCCTGTATGGTCACGCTGGTTAGTATTACTTTAACCAAGCTATTGTCTTCATAGGACTGTATGTACATGTGAAGGCAGTTCCTCACAACAGATTACTGAGAATATACTCATATGCAGTGCAAGACATCCTTAAAAGGAAGTCTCTATTTTCAATAGAAGGTCGTTTAAAAACTCTGAGCTGACCTTGTAGAATAAAAAAAATAAAAAAGGAAAAGCACCTTCACTGAAACATTGCAGGAACAAAAAGGTCGTTACAATTTAAGTGTCTTAATCTTCGAATAAAAACCAACAATAAATGCCCATAACTGTAAGGTAAAAACAATCACTGGACATGTTCTCTGTGCCTCTTCTCTAATCTAATATAAAATCATACACAGAGCTCATATAACAGGATCAATTACATAAAAGAAGGACTCACAGTTAAGACATATTCATTGTAGTCATAGCTTGGAGTTTAAAGATTTTGTCCAAACAAAAGAATCGGTCTACTGTTGTGGCAAAGTTAATGGGAGGTTGTGTGGAGTCATTTGTGACCTCATAAATATATGTATGTTTTCAAATATCATGTAATTTTTCCACATCTAAGATTTAGAAATGGAATAATAACATAAATATTTGTATTGAAAACTTTTACATTTAGAATAACCTCTTTTTAAAAGTATACAACAGCATCGTCCCTTGATAATCAATAATATGTCCATGGCGCTCTGCCCATTCAAGTTATATAGAAACATCACAAGTTTATTATCCTCAGCTGTAGCTCATAGCATTCCACCCTCTCTGTCCCCATGTCTGCAGGTCTGGCATGAGTATGAACAAATACACACCAACCTTTAACAGTGGCTACAAAAACAGCCCTCTATAACTGGAAAGATAAAAACCATCCTTCAGCAATAGTATCAAACAAGAGGCACCTGAAAACCTTAATAAACACTCATTTAGCAGTATCACCTGGCGTCCTGTGGAAAATAACCCAAGAAATAACTATACATGCACACAAGAAAAATATTTACATTTAATAAGCAACCTCCCGCCTACATTAGTGCCCCAATCTGTAAACTAATCATCTTTTAACAAGGAAGAAAATGTAAACTCTGTTTAGTAACTGTGGTGTTTACTGAGTGCTGTGTGTTTACCACCTAGTAAATGTCATCTGATGACTTCAAATTGTCAGCACTCCTTCCCCAGCTAAAAACACCTATGTGGGTGGATGAGTGGTTACACAATCAGTGCTGGATGATGATAAAATGAAGAGCCCATGTTCTCGTCAAGTATCACAGAGACAGATTATTTCTCCATTATAGGCAAAAAAATCATTCTAGCGCCAGCAGTAGTAGTACTAGTACATGTTGTTGTGTTTGGGGTGCCAGAGTCAGAATTTGTCAGTCTCTTCTGGATAAATGCAGGGCAAAAGGTAGATATGTAAACATCTTTAAACCCTGAGTTACAGAAACAGTAAATCAACGGGTCCAGCAGGCAGTCGCTGTAAGACAAAACCATGAGGGCGTCGTACACCTGGACAGCTATGTTTTCTGCATCCTGCCAGTTCTTCAGCCGCACAAACAGCAGTGCTGCTCTAGTTATAGTGCAGGGAAGGAAGCAGAAGGAGAAGACAACGACAACAGATGTGACTAAGCACACAGCCCTCCTCAGCTTAGTCTTCTCCCCAACCGTCTTCTTCCTCAGCCGGCTGACAATGCGGACCGTGCAGTAGACGAGGATGATGTAGGGGATGATGATTTGGGAGAAGAAAACAATCTTAAAAAAAACAAAACAAACAAAAACCCCACTATTAGGTATGACTCGTTACAATAGCCCTATGTGTCACACAGTCAACTTGGATTTCTATACAGACATGGGAAAGTTTATCATGTACACTCCTAACTTAAACACTCTGTCTTCAATCATGGACTAATATTTTGACCCCTTTAAACCCCTCCTTAGCTTCTCCAGCTAACCCCCTGCCTTTTACTTAAGTTATGATGTTAAGTTAGAAATGTAAATGATTCAAATTAATTCTTTCTTTCAAGAATAACTGGTGATTATCTGTTGATTTTTGTTTTTCTAACATTAGTTAACAGTTGTCTGGTCTCTAAGATTTCCAAATATTGTGAAAAGTGTCTATAGAAGCGTTTATCTTTATCTGCACACGTTCCACATCTCATCCCATCACTGGTCCAGACCCTGAAAATCCTGTGTTTATTTCAAAAGTTACATAAACAAAGGAATGTTAATAATTAGGACAAAGAGAAAAAAACGGCCTAAAAAATAAATGTAAATGATTCATGAAAACTTTTGTTTATACGCTGTCTCCAATTTTTACTTCAGAAAAACTCTAACTCGGTTCTGCCACGCCTGGGTGAGTGTATCTATGTCTTGTGGAAAGGAACTGCCAGTTAGGGAACTGAACTGGATATTGACTGTAATGCCAGCTTTATAGGAAGTTGAAGCAGTTGTGTTAATCTCTGCTGTTCTTCTTAAATGTTCAAATATAAATATTAAAGTTTTTTTGAATCCAAATCCACCCGTTTTCTTTCTGGAGGCTGGAGGCCATCTGATCTGTCAGAGCGAGGCAGCGAACAACCTGTTTTTAGTCTGTTGTCATCAGTATATATTGTTAGGTAACATAAAACAACACTAAATCCAAACAAATACACTGAAACCGTACCTCTCTAAAGGTGTCCGTCACATCATGTAAGAATGTCTCCTTTTCCCGTCCGTGGCTGTTGCAGCACTCAAAGGTTGTGACCATAGTAGGAGTGGTGAGGGGAAGCAAGAGGATCCAGATGACGACAGAAATCTGAGGAGATTTCTTAAACACGTTGACAAAATTTCTCCTTCCAAGATGGACCACATTGAAGTAGCGATCGAGGGACATTGTGATGAGGAAGGCGATGCTGGCTCCTCGATTGAGAAACAGCATGAAGAGCATTATCTTACAAAGCACAGTGTCCTCACTGCGCCTCAAGTTGTGCTGGTAATGATGGATCTTGAAAGGAAGGCAGCCCACCAGCAAGAAATCAGCAACCACAATATTGAACAAGAAGATCGCTTTGTTCTTCCAGAACTTGTATCTAAAAAGGAAGCAGGTCATATAACAGTTAATTGTTTCACAGCCAGCGAGTTTGCTTTGTATCAAGAGCGAATGAAGAGGAACAGGAAAAAAATAAACCTAAGCTTATGATGCTGTTTCTGCCATCTACACGACCTCGTCCTCTCCTCGGAGAGCTGAGTAAAATGTTGGACAGTCGCACTCAGACTCATGTCAGATAAACTCTTCAAAACTCATAGACCAGCGTGGGAACATATGTAGATTTTACTTTGTAGCGACTTGCAAGGTCTGCTTTGTGGTTTTGTTTGCACTTCAGTGTAACACTTACAGCTTTGCTTTTTTGTTCTACACTTTCTATTTTAACTTTTCAAGAACAAAATTGGATTCATCTGTCCATTTCAAAGGTTTAATAGAGTTTTGGTAGGTCTTGTTATTTTCATGGCATCTGAATTGGTTGCATCAGAGTGGTCACAGTCTTTTAAAGATAAACTTAAAACCGCTTTCTTCACCACATCAGCAGCTCAGTTGGTTTACACTTCATTTAGCAAACTTTGCCCCCAGTAACGAGAATCCAGCACAGCTTTCCTCTTGGTTTTTACTAAAACGAGAATAAATGTAAACGAGTAAAAAGATTCCCCGTACCTGAAGATGAAGATGTAGAGAACGGACAGGTTGAGAGGCAGACCCAGTGTAAATTCTCCCACCATTACCCAGGAGAGGACTTGGTATGTAATGTCACTGGGTGTTTTGCAGTGGTCAACTGATCGATTTACAGACATGTTTTGTTGAATCATCATATAAATGGCAAAAAATGTCCACCTTCTATAGCAGATAAAGCTACGGTCAAATTAATATGTCATATATTGAGAAAGCAAGCATTGCAGTTAAAGCCTTTATCCTGGAGGTTGTTGTAGGTTCCTATGATCTTGAATCTTCACCCCTCAGGGACAGATGCTCCTTCTCACTCTCCTTCTAGTTCCTTAAATTGAACAGTCCCCTTAAGAGAGCCTTACAGTGATTGTGGACCTCTGTCAAGGCTGGTTTTTCCATGGCAAAAGATACGGAGGAAGCCCACTCTCAATGCAGTGAAGGAGAAAGGAGAAAATGCCCTCTCTAAGCCTCTGTTTATGTGATGCTGCCACGCTGGTTACTTGCGAAGAAGTATTTACATTCAGGAGGTGCTGGAGGTGTGGTTTAGGGAGCTCTACTCAACTGACTGAGAAACTAAGCATGAGAGTTACATTTATGAATCTTTCAATCTGCAAACTCTAAATTATTACTGCAAAAAAGGAATCTGACAGTAATTCTGATGTTACAGAGAGAGAGAGCTATTTGGAAACTGGTAGTTCAAGGTGGTTTTATCAGCAGACTGGCTAAACTCCTTGTGACATTCAGGGGACTGTCAATATGACAAAATCATGCTTGCACATTTGCAATATTATGTTTGGAGACATTCACGGAAAAAACATGCAAACACATATAAGTTTTACATTGCTATAAAGTGACAGATCAGTGTCTTTAGGTACACAGTTTTAGATTTGAGATTTTTCCTACGTTCAATAACCTGTTATGACAAAGTAATAACATTGTTTATGAATCTTTTTTAAATGTTTAAAAAAAATCATAAACCTGTGTCTTATTGACAGATACATTTGTTTGTCAAAGCCCCATTTGGCAGCAGCTACAGCCTTCTATGTTCAAGGGTAGATATTTTCAATCTTTGCACATCTGGATTCAGGCTGTTTGTTCCACTCTTACTGACACATCTTTTCTTGCATTGCATGGAAAGCCAATCTGACTGAGCTGCTACTTTATAGTCGCTGGCAGAGTCTGTATTTCAGCTCCATGCCAGCTAATCTAAGTTGGATTAATACTTATCAGTTTTCTTGATTAAACCTACTTTGGTTATGTCAAAGTGAGAGTTTGCCAGGGTCAGAATCAGGTGTTTTTGTTATTTGGTTCAAGGATTATGGGCAGTGCCAACCTATACCTCTATTTTATCACTATGGCAGTGCCACAAAAATAATGAGTGAAGGATCAGCTTCATAGCTTGGAAAGTGTGCACGTGATAATTATCTTCAAATGAAATCACCCCTTACTTTGTGCAATCTAATGTTGGAATTCCACATTTGTTTATGATTTCAAACTTTTTTTTCCGTTTCAAAATGATTAAGACCATTGTGCTTCTGTGATACTGAAAGGTTTTGAAAGGTTCTGCATTCTGACCTGCTAATATTCTAAATGTTGTCTGTGCTGGTGTGCTGGCACACAGCGGGTTAAATGGTATCCACAGGCATGAATATTGTGTTTTTGGATTAGCTTTGTCATAGAGGAGGGATTTTTCCAGGCTGTATTCTTCCTCAGTTCCAGCTGGGATATTCTCCAGACCCAAATGACACTCTACAGGAATGGTATCATCATGAATTCATGCATGTCTGGTTAAGTGTTGTTGAGCATACATATAGGAAAACTGTACAACATGAAAGATACAACAAAAAAGTGAAGGGTTGTGAATACTTTTCAAAGAAATAGTTGTATGATTCATGGGGTGAGGTTGAGCCAGAATACAAGTTTGTCTGAAGATCTGATGAGTTTACACTGCATACATTTTGTTACAGTATATAAGAGGATTCTTTAAGGAAATATTACAGCTTTCTAATGCAGACAGGAGTTCATCTTCAAGTACACCTTTGTTTGAACATACTGGCATTTAGAGAATTGCAAGCAGTGGAAAAGTCATGTCCATGCTTTAGGATGAGCATAAAGAGTCTTCTACAACAATGAAAACTCCGAGGAAATCATAGACAAACACTTTGGTCATTCTTACAAAATACTCCTTGCAAAAATCAACGTGAAAATGCATAACAGCGTTTTTGGTAACTAAGTCAACCAAGCAATCTTGTCAAAGTTAACATACTTTGCTCTGTTCATGTTAACCGTTAAAGTAACCATTCCTCCTCCTCTCTAAAGCTCCCCTCTGCTGTAAAATACAAGAAAACTAATCATTTCAAACTTCAATATAAATTTGAATCCTATTAAGCCATACACTGACATCTTTACTTCACTTTACTTAACTGTACTGCTGTGTCATTGTCTGACACAATGTTGCACAAATGAGCTATGCCACATGGTTTCTGCAACAGACACATGAACAAAGTTGAGTACGTTTTGTGCTTTATGGCTTGTTGCACGTCTGACTGTAACAGTGCGAATTTTAACCCATTACAGCCATTGCAACGTGACTTTTCTATACCAATAATATGAGTGTATGTCATGGCCCAGCAGGCCTGCCTGAGGATGGTCAGCTGTGACAGTGTTTTTGTTGTTGTTACTCTCTCTCTTTTGCTCCTCCCAGGGCGGGACTCATTATGGGTTCCCACCTTTGGCTCACGCACCTGCAGGACATCTACAGTACCTACCTGCGCCCAATTACCTCTGTGTTCTTGTCACTACTTAAGACAATGAAGCTGTGCTACTCGTCACTGGATAGTTGTGCGACTCGCGTTAGTGTTGCCCCGGCATTTTGCCAACGATCCAACCTGTGCTCTCTTTCCAAATAGACCTCCTGGACCCGTCCCTGTTTTACCCCGGTAAAACAGGGATGGGTCCAGGTCCAGGTCCAGTGAGTGAGGTGGTGAGTTGGTGTGTCTGGCAGATCACGGTGTGTGGCTATAGAGGATTAAGTGTGACGTATTACTGAATATAGTAATACAGTACTTTTATTTAATATAGTACTTTATTTAATTGCATAATTACTACCAGGGAAAAGTAATTTGTTATACTATTTGTTACGTTACTTTTATGTTACTCTGTAAAATAGCTCAAGCACAGTTTGCCATAATCACTATTTAAAAACATAAACCTGAGGCTACAACCCCACAGACTAAAACAATTACTTAATGAGGTGACACATCTTTAAAATCGTTTTCGTAGTGGAATACAAAGCTGACTAGACAAAGCAAAGATGAAAACCAGAACAAAAAAGCGATCGCCAGGGATTCTGCTTTGGAAACGTGAACAGGAAGAGAGGGAGGCTGCAACCTGACTGCTCATCTGCTTTGTTACCTGTTGAAGTTGAGGGTCTGGCCCCTGGGGTCGGCATTCACTCAATTTTCACTCTGGGTTCTTGGCTAGCTTAACGTTAGCATGCATCTTGGCAGATGCTTGTAAAGAAACTGAAGTTATCTTAGCAGCATAATGCAGCTGTTTCTGTCCTGGGTGCAGTTTTACACTTCCACTCTAGACTGCGCCATTATTTTTCGCTTCTTAGACGTGAACACAAATCAGGTGATTTACAGTGGGATGCAAAAGTTTGGGCAACCACTTCCTGTAGGTTCCAATGAGAGTCTGGATTGTGGTTGAAGGTATTTTGGACCATTCCTCTTTACAAAACATCTCTAGTTCATTCAGGTTTGATGGCTTCCGAGCATGGACAGCTCTCTTTAACTCACACCACAGATTTTCAATAGTATTCAGGTCTGGGCTGAGATGGCGGTTCCAGAACGTTGTACTTGTTCCTCTGCATGAATGCCTTAGTGGATTTTGAGCAGTGTTTCCAGAATGAAGCTGGCTTGTCCAAATGTGCTTTAGCGGCTCTGTTTGTGCTGTGGGCGGAGAAAA